CCCCCCGTCCGTAGTACCCAGTTGATTCATTGCCCAAAGTCAGGGGGAATTTTAATGCAAAAAAAAAAATCAAAAAAAAAAGAGGATAAACCGTAGCTAGGCCCAAAAAATCTTTTCGAATTACCTTTTCGTTTGTTTCCGCTAATTCTCGCCTTTGACACTCCTGGAATGTCCTGTAATCGTCCAGGACCCCCTTTGGACCCGTGTTTCGCAAACCACTAGACATCGGCGGCGGTGCATCACTGCTGGTCCCAACGCAGCAGTCATCTTGCTCCTCATCACTGCTACTGCAATACCCGGCCGCTTTACCGTGCAATAATTTTTCTTCCAATGTTGCCATACCTTAAATGATTCCGTATTTTTAAGACGACTACTAGAACTCAGTTCGGCACGACCGCGCAAAATGCACTCGCTTTTGAGTTTGTGGAAAATGCACTCGTTTTTGAGTTTGTGCAAAATGCACTCGCTTTTGAGTTTGTGCAAAATGCACTCGCTTTTGAGTTTGTGGAAAATGCACTCGCTTTTGAGTTTGTGGAAAATGCACTCGCTTTTGAGTTTGCGGAAAATGCACTCGCTTTCGAGTTTGTGGAAAATGCACTCGCTTCCCACCCATAGGCCCCGTGAAAATTTTTGGCGGGAAAATTGCTAACTCAGGGAGCAGAAAAGCCAGAAAACCGAAATTTTGTGAGGATGGTCCCGTCCACACAGAACTCAAAGATTTCAGTTTCAACTCGAAGTGTTGTGCGTCGTAGGACAGGAATTTGTACTGGGATGTTACGTACGACCAAAAGATTTCAAATCCAGCTTTGCGTCGTAAGGGACAGGATCTTGTACTAGGATGTCATGCACGACAAAAAGATTTCAAATCCAGCTTTTTAGGGTATGCTTGCGTTTCAACACTTACAAACATTTGTAAGATTTTGCCGAAAAATTTAACAACCGGGAAATTGAAAAGCTAGAAAGCTGATTTTTTAAGAAAATGTTCCGCGCTCAAGTACAACTGAAAAAAACTTTAAATTTCATTGGTGTCATGTCGACAGGTAAGACACTGCTGCTGTGCAGTAGATATATAGTTTTACTGGCGAGGTCCTGTCGCGGTGTTAAGACGTATATGACTTAATGGATCGGAACTTCTTATGTCCTTCTCTCATATTGTAATCTATGGCGCGCCTTCGCCTTTTAGGCTTTCAGGGTTAACCTGAGTGGTATAACCGGCTTACTCCGCCAGTGAGACAAACAATCCCTCTAACGAATCGGTTCGTTCATTCGTTTCAATGATAAGCTGACTGTAGCTGATTGTAGCATACAAGTAATATTAAAAATTTAAATAGAGCAGGAATAGAACGAACTATGTATTGATGGATATAGGAATAAAGCTGGTATGAGAAAAATAAGCACGAATGAGTGTTAAGACGTTTCGGTCCATTAAGTCATATACGTCTAAAAATTGGTACTACATTAATACTAGCATTCACGAATTGGTACTAGCATTCACTAGCACGAGCAAATTGGTACTAATACTCATGAAAGAATCAAATCCGCCATCAGCTTGCTTATAAGCAACCCTCAAAAGAAGGTGACAGCCTTGCCGGCGTTCGGTTGCTGTTGGCATTTGCTACCATTCGGACTACTTCCCAAGTACCTCCGCCTCTCACTGGGAGTGAATATGGAGGGAATTTTTCACTTTTTGCTGTACAAAACGCATGGTTGCTTTTACAGCCCAAAATCTTGTGAGAACAAAAAATACAGAATTCTGCCATACTTTGCGCACGAAGCCAACAGTGCTTGAAGAAATCAAAAACAGAAAAAACACCGGTACCCGGGTTCAGGTTATATATCCAGGATAAATTTTTTAGGTACTTCGGATGAAAATTTTGAACCGTGCCAACGGGCCAAGTTCCCAAGTCCAATGGGATTTTCTGCGAGAATACATGAACAATCCTCACGAACTACTCCTACGCTCTAAAAAACAAAACACTTGAACGAATAGTCGCGAAAATCCCCGACGATTGATCGGAACTCACCAACTGCCACGCCTCAACCCTCAACAAATCTTATCAATCTCTGCACTCTCTCTCTTCCCGTACTATTTCTCCCACCATTTATCTGATCGATATGTTGGTGTTTACTCATCCCTCAACGAATCTTATCAATCTCTGCACTCTCTCTCTTCCCGTACTATTTCTCCCACCATTTATCTGACCAGAATGTTAGTGTTTACTATTGATTTCTGAACATCCTTAAAATGTACTTTCTCTCATCCAGCTTGGTAACTTTTTTCTCTAAATCTCTTCAAAACTTGTATCTCTTGGCGATGCAGTTTTACTTTTTATCTCTAAATCTCTTCCGGGGGCACTGTATTTCGCAAGTTAGAGCGGGCGGTGGATTGAAAAATCTGTAGAGCTTCTTCTAACTGTAGTTGACGATAGTGTTCCGGAAAAGTTCAGGCCGTTATGCTCATTTCCGTTTTGTTCGTGATTCCATGTTTTTATATATCACGCTCCTTCTTCCTGGCTTATGGATGGATCCAAAATGAGCTCCTAGGGGAGTAGGGAGGAAGGGAGAAGGCGACAGGATGGGAGGTCCCCCCTACCCTGGGGTTGTGCTAAGACCAGGAGTAGGTTTGACCGCCGTCTTACGGACGGGCTATTTACAATCACCTTGTATGGCAGGTACGGCCCTTGCCGATCTTTACCCTTTACTGAATGGGCCGTTGTTCCTGCCCCTCAGTTACTAGCCTTTTCCTTTCGCCTACAGGGCGGTTACGGCCCGTACTGCCTTTTACTTGTAACAGTGATGCTAAGAGTTACTTTAGGCTTACTTTGGGCTTACGTGCCGCCATCACCACTTCCTTTCTTTCTCCCCTCTTCCTTCGGAAAGTCACATATTCGTTCAAAACATGGCGGAGTTTGGCACTGTACTGATGATTCCCACTTCATTCCGCACCGACTGTGCCGTGTGTGTGT